ATGTTATTTAACCTCTTACCTACCAACATTACCGTGTCAGATTTTGGCTCACAGATTAGGCAGATTTCTGGTTTGAAGATAACCTTGTGACCTAGTTCACATAATTGACTTATACTGATTAAGTTGTGCTTGAGACCTTCAACAAGAAGAACATTGTGAATGGTCACAGTTTCACCATCTCCTATATCTCCATAACCTAAGATTCTTCCTTTGTTGTTGTCTCCATATGTCACGTGTCCTCCATTCTTCAATCTCAGTTTTTGGAATTTGGAAATATCACCTGTCATATGCCTTGAGCATCCACTGTCCAAGTACCAAAGTGATTCTTACTGCTGTTCCTGAAAAATCAAACATCAAGTATTTGGTACCCTTAAGTATTTTGGGTCCTTAGGGGTCAAATTTTCTATTTGACATATTTTGGAACCCATCTCATTTTACCCTGTGGCACAAAGTGTTTTCTAATATGACAGAATTTTATAGTATGCCCTTTTTTCATACAGTAATGACAAGATGAGAAAGGAGATGCTGTTGATTTTCTAAAAGAAAAGAAATTCAAATATCTTTTAGTTTTAACCTCAACCTTAGGTTTGTACCCAATTCCAGAATGATCAAAAACACAGTTTTGGGACCCAAGAAGTGTATCTAAATTTTCTTTACCTTGAGTAAACTTAGACAGAGTTTTAATCAAGTACTCAACCTTATTCTGCAGAGAGATACACTTTTCACAATTATTGTTAGCAGCAGCATTACCAGCAGATGAATTATTGTAGATTATTTCAAGATGTTCCATATTTGTCTTGCTTTCTAGTAACTATTCTTCTAGAACTTTAACCCTATTCTCTAACCAGTTATTTAGTCCTTTTAACCGATTATTTGTATGAGATAAATTCCTAGCTTCATTATGCATTTCATTGAAAGCAGTTAGTAATGTGTTGTAATTCATTTCATTTTCTATGGGGGTTGAACTTACATGAGATGAAGAGGATTCACGGCCGACCATTAAGCATAGATTCACTTCTTCACCTTCGAGATACGGAACTAGAGGATGAATCATTGTCTTGCCAAGCTATGTAGGCCTTTTTCCCTTTGTACTTTAACTCTTTCTTGTTTTGATTCTTGGATTTTTCTGGACATTCACTCCTTATGTGTCCCCGCTTACCACAAGAATAACAAGTAAAAATATTTTGAGTAGATTCAGTTCTTTTATCGGTGTACCTTTTAACCTGGCCGGTTCTGTTCTTCTTTCTAAGAAATTTCCCAAACTTCTTAACCAACGGAGTCAGATTCTCAGATTCATCTTCTTCAGAATCACTACTTTCTTCAATTGTCTTGAGAACAATGTTTACGCTTTTCTTCTCTGCATTTTCTTATTCTTTAAACTTATTGATCTCCAACTCATGTTTCCTTAGCTTACCAAACAATGATGCAGTAGTCATCTCAGTTAAGTCTCTTGATTCTGATATAGCTGTCACCTTTGGTTGCCAAGTTACGTCCGGACATTTTAGGATCTTGATGCTTAACTCTTCCTTGTCAAATGTCTTGCCTAATCCAATTAGATGATTGACTATATGCGTGAATCTTTTACGCACATCTGCAATGGTTTCACCTTGCTTGCATTTTGAACAATTCATAGTCTCTAATTAATTCATGCTTTCTTGCCCTTTTCACGTCGAGGTACCCTCATGAGTGACCTATAGAATCTCCCACATTTCTTTGGCAGAGGCACATTGAGAAACCCTGGAAAACTCATCAAGATTTAAGGCAGAGGTAATAATGTTCTTAGCAGTATAATCATATTGAACTTTCCTATTTTCTGCATCAGTTAATTCAGCCCAGTCTTTTTCAACAATTTTACCATCTACTGTATGAGTTGGTTTGAAAGGCCCATTAACAATTGTATCCCAAATACCCCTATCAAGAGATTCAATAAAGATTTTCATTCTAACCTTCCAAAAAGAATAATTCACACCAGCAAATAGAGGAGGCCTATTGATAGAGGCTCCTTCAGAAAAATTCATCTTTCCCTCAGCCATTTAAACCTTCCTTGGACCAAATTCTTGAGTAACTTACAAGAACCAGCTCTGGTACCAATTGTAAGAATTAATGGTTGAGTTCAATAGGGGGGTGAATTGAACTTTTGAAATCATTTTCGAAAAACACTCTTTCTTTTGGAAGAATGGTTAATCTTTATCCAATCTTTTATTAGGAAGATTTGGTTTTAAACAAAGTAAGAATATAAGCAAGAATTGTAAAGAGATGGAAGCAGAAATTCAACACAAGAGTTTATACTGGTTCACTCTTTCCCAGAGCTACATCCAGTTCTTGACAAATCTGCCAAGTTCCACTAATTCCAAGTGAAAATAAAAACTAGTAGATATACACCAATCTACCCCAAGAACTATCTTACAACACCACAAGATAGACTCTTGAATTAACCACCCAGCAACCAAACCCAGTTACTGTAACTAGTGCAGATTCAAACCCAATCTACACAATTAAACTTTGTCCAAGTATATGAAAAGAATAAACCTGGACTGCAGCTTTAACAATATAGAAGTCCAGAAGCAATTTCCCTAACTCAGAACTTTCTCTCTTGATGAACTTTCAACAATCTTGATCTAAAATGCATAGAGAAAGGCACTAATATGAGAGCTCTAAGATTGCTTTTAAATGTTTTCCAAATTGTATATTCAAAAGAGAAACCAAAACTGTATTTATAGAGTAAAAGAGAGAAACTGATAGATTCAATCAATTTAAAATAGCTTGAAGTAGCAGATGATCGATCAGAATAGTTTTATGACCGATCAGAACTAGATATGATCGATCAGAATTGAGTTGTGATCGATCAGAACCTGATATGATTGATCAGAATTGAGTTGTGATCGATCAGAATATTTTTCAATCGATTAAAACGACGTTTCAATCGATTGATTTCATTTAAAACTTAATTCAATCGGTTGATTCGAGTTTTCAATGGATTGAAACAGTTTAGAAAAAAATGGTAGCTCTCTGTTTCAACAGATTAAAATATATTTCAACAGATTGAAATCCTGTGATGCTTCAAAGTGAAAAATAACATCTCTCTGTTTTAACAGATTGAACTTGATTTCAACAGATTAAAATTGCGAAACCTTTAATATGGAAAAATCATTAAGAACATTTTAACCTATTGATTCTGCGATGCAATCAATTAAAATTTTGACAACATATGAACATTTCCTATTTTAAGTGATTTTAACATATTGAAACTTCTTTTTAACAGATTGAAAAACTCAGTTTGTTCTTTTAATGCTTAAAGGTTGGTTTTTCATGCAGTAAAATAAGTTCAATGAGATGCATCATTTAAAGGCGCTTATCACAAGATCTATTGAACTATCAAGAGATTAAATTCTAAACCTATAACCTATTCACCTACACACCCACAAACTAAACTCTATATATCTTCATCAAATCCAACAAGTGCTTCAAAAGGTTGCCAACATACCTTAGCGCACTTATCTCTTCTAGGAAGGTTATAAACGCACTTGGGTTTGTTTTGCTATTGTCTAAGGATATCTAATGCATCCTAGAATGAATGTGTTTATGTATGAGAGATTTTATTATAATGATGTTTATGCGTACTTTTCTTAATGCATTTATTTTCTCTCGTAGTTTTACCACTTATTGGATGATGTGGTATGAATGATACGACTTTGTCAAAAATCTTTTTATTGTAAGAGGTATTTTTATTGCTTTAAATTGTTTTTTTATAACCCTTTATCTCTTCTGTTGGTCACCGTGGCTACTTAGCTTACAAAGAACCTGAAACCAGGCTAGCTTAAATGAAGACTGTCCGAGATAAAGTTTGTTTATTCTTATCATTTTTATTATTTTTTAGAATTTTTACTTTTTTGTCTGTTGTATGATTACCCTATGTCAATGCATCAATACAAATGCAACAAACGAATGCACACACAATTCACTCATCCACGAGCAGAGTCACGCTTATTTAATCACGAGGTAGGATTTTCCTGCAGAAACGTGCTTGGTTAAGGCGGTTCTAAACTGTTCTCACCAAGGCCAAAGGTCCCCAAGGTGCCCCCATTATAGGGACCTCTCAATCTCTCAGTCTTTGGACCATGCACGGACCTCCGTGTCGACATCCTTGGACCAAAAGAAGAGATTTATCACCTTTAGTTGGTGGTTTTCCGACAACGGTTGTAGCCCCGTGTGCTAACAAGCCGGTCGTATCTGCCACCCATTCCCTATAGGTATTCACTCTTGCCCCCGGGTATAGAGGGATTGTTGTGTGCAAGGGTTTTTGTGTACAATTTGTATTTCAGACAATTTGCAGAAAATAATCATACAACAGTTATTAAAGCCATACAATAAAACATACAAAGAAGGGTAAAGGTGTAATTTCAAATCTTTTCTTAGTTTGAATTTATCCGTCACTAAATGGGATCAACTCTCTAGCGTCCCCAGTGGAGTCGCCATCTGTCGCCGCTGTCTGTTCCGACGTCTAGGGACATCTCGAACGTTTATGCGAGTGGTCGCGATAAGATGGTTTAGACTCACGTTTTATTTAACAATATGATCATTGCTTCCGAGGTGCTCAACAACTGAACTATCCTCTAATAAAAGCAAGGTTTTCGCAAAAAGGTTCTTATAGAGTCGCCACTAATGTTTTGACCATAAACATTGGAAAAGGATAAAAAGACGTTGATTTTAAGAAAAACCAAACTTGGTCATTATAACCAGAGTTAGGTAAGGGAGTTAGTTATGCGTGGGGAAGGTGTTAGCACCCCCACGATGCCCCTTTCGGGTTCCCTATGACTGATTAATTCATAAAATAAAGATTAAGAGAAATTACGCTATTACTCTATTTTATTACACAATATTAAAAATGGCTATCTACATGATTCTATTTTCTATTGCATACAGAAAGCAGTAAGTAAAGCAATAAAAGAGAAGAGAAGTGAAAAGAACCTCCGTAGCAGACTTTTATTATAAATCTTCAACTATGAGGATGCGTTTTGGCAATCCCCCGCACTACACAAACTCTCCTCCTGAATACAGGAACGAAACTAAAAAAAACTCTTAGAAGAATCAAATGCTGGAAGAGACTTCCTTAACCGATTGTTACCTTATAGGAAATCGGAGAGATCATTCGAAAGAGGGAGAGAAGAGAATAGTGAGGTGTGTCTAAAAACGTCACCTAGGGTCCCTATTTATAGTATTTTCAGCCAGAAGACTCGGGACGGCCGTCTCAGGCCAAGAAAACAGGGACAGTGGTCCAAACAGCTTGGGACGGTCGTCTGGAAGTTGGGACGACCGTCCCAAGTGAAAAAAAAGGGTTGGGACAGCCGTCTAGGAAGTGAGACAGCCGTCCCAAGTGTAAAAATGGGTTTGGGACAGCCGTCTGGGAAGTGGGATGGTTGTCCCAAACCCCCTGACAGCATTTTCTTACCTTTTTCTTATTTTTTGAGTCCAGAGAGCTCTTCTATCCTCACATGGAGCCTAGTGAACATTACTAGGGGCCCAATGATGCCTTGTTCATCTTCGAACGGAGGATCTCTGACCTTTATTGAGAGGCCAGACAAGATTTGGGGTCTACAAAGCCAAACTAGACTCATTTATAACTAGACTGCTTAAGCGTGAAGATTTAGTCATTTAAATGACTGAAAAAAATATTTATCTTCACCTATGGTCGCTTAAGTGCGAATTATACATGTAGTGTCACGTTTAAGTAAGTGGAACAAATATTCAATTTTAAATTGTCGCTTTATATGTTTGATTTCAAGTGTCAAGATGTGTTGTGTTTTGCTTAAGCCTTCTAAACACTTGCTTGAATAATTATTTTTTTAACTAATATCTCTATGGCTTAAGCAAAATTTTGTGATAATATGCAATCATTCACAAAATATATCATTGTATAAACAGAATAATATTGTTACAAAATTTCATCATCAACTTTAAAAGTTTTTTTTTTTGTTACAATGATATATAATATAATAATCAGTGACAACATTTTATTGTTGTAATATCGTTACAATTGTTTTTTACTCATTTGTCACAAATGTTGACAATATTTTTTACATCACAAATTTCGTAAAAAATATGTTTTTTTAGTGCGTCAATGAATCAATGTTGGACGTGGTCTTAATTTCAATGAAGCACATTAGTGTTTGATGAGTATAGTTGATTAGTAGAAAATGATTCAACGTTAGTGTTCATCTTCATTGTTAATTCTAACTACCTTCACTACAAAAAAAGTGGGTTGACAAAATATTATCTACGATAAAAATTCGTAGGTAAAATATACATTACATACATTATCTACAGAATTTTATCCATATGTATATTATCCATTACCTACAGAATTTTATTCATATGTATATTATTCATTACCTACGTACAAATGAGATGATTATGCTTTACCTAAGGACGTAGGAGATACGTAATGCTCATTTACTACTTTACCTACTCATTTACCTACGGATGTGTAATTAAAAAAAAAAAACTAAAATGTCAGCACCCAATTAAAAAACAATAAAAAAAAAAAAAGAAAGGGGGCTCCCATGGCCCCATTTTCAGTCTCCCCAGTACCATTTTCAGCCCCGCTCACCATCACCACAAACCCCCCCAATCCCGGCGTTCCTCTACTCATCTTTAGATCCTCACATTCTCCCTGTACCTTCACACTCGACCAACACCCAAATCTTCCATCCCCCTCACCTGATCATGGAGCCACGGTGAACCAAACCAAAATTCTCCATCTCTACTCTCAATCGACTCCTCTTGTCATTGTCGACCCCCAGGTTTTGTCCTGCCAACAACTCCATTGTGTCCCAAGCCACCGCGAGCCACCAGTCACGCCTCTCTTTCTCTACCACACTACCTCCATCGCAGCCCATACCTATTATTAATCCGAGTCAACATCAATTTTCATGCTCGCTACGAACCCTATCCAACCACCGGAACAGCCAACACCCATCCTCCACTTCCGATTTACCCATTCATCCTCTCCTCCCTATTCATCAACGTCAACTGAGGAATCACTGCCATTCTTATCTGTAATTATTTACGATTTGACTACTTCTCAGAATTTCACGTTGCTCTTCTTTTTGTTTTCTTTTACTTCTAGGTAGATTGCGTGTCACAGTTGGCAGCACATTGAAATCTTAAGCTTATTCTTATTATGCATAAGATTGTAGGATTATCTATTAGTATTTATTTAAGGGATAGATTACAGAAGATACATAGCATTGTGAAAGTGACTACTTTTGTTAAATAAAGTCTATACATTTGCGCAAAAAACAACTATATACGCATGCAAAATTCAAAATAATCTAGAAGCTAAAGATAATATTAAATTAAGTATACGGAAACCCTACCCGTAATTAGGGATGACGATTAAACCCGTACCCGTGGGGACCGACCCGTCCCCGCCCCGAGTTTGACGAGGAAAACCCGAGTTGACGGGGGCGGGGGCGGGTTCGGGTTTTCCCCGCTTTAAAAAGTCGAGGCGGGGGCGGGGGCGGGGATGGGTAATACAACCCCGACCTCGACCCCATCCCCGCCCTGACTTTATATTTAAATTTAAATTTCAAAATATTAATATTTTAAAAGTATTCATTTTTCTTTTTCTATTACATATAAGGTCATTTTTTTTATATTTCACCAATTTTTATTTTTCTTCTACCCATTTTTTAATATTTTTGTATTTTTTAATCTTTTATATCAATTAATTTATTGCATTATTCTCTCTTACCTTTCAGCTTTTTCATATTTCCTTAATCTCTCCCATCAATTTGTTTTTTTTTCAATCTTTTCAACCAATTTGATGAACACAAAGTTAATTTTTTTATTCTTTATCTTTTTCTAAATATTTTACATAAATCTTAGTAGTAACTAATCTTATTTTATTTATAATTTATATTTATTAGGTTTTATTATGTCATATTTTTTTATCCTATTATTCTTATTTATCATATATCAAATTTTATCTTAATAAAATAATTGTATTTTAAAATAATTGATAATTTAAACTTTTATTACTTCGAACTAATTGAATAAGAATTAACTTATTAAATATTTCCTTATAAACTATATATTTCATATTTTTAAATGACAACTTAAAAATGAATTAACTTATATATATAATCAAATGTTTGAATACAATATTATAATAATAATGTTATAAGTATCCAAATATTTCAATACAGTGTTATAATAATAATAATAATAATAATATTATTATTATTATAAATAAAAAATGAGACGGGGATGAGAACTTAATTTCTAACCCTACGGGGATTGGGGAGGGAATCATCGTCGGTAATAACAAAAATCTATCGGTAAATATTTTATAAAATTACCAACGGACGAGAATCCGTCGGTAATATTTTCATTATTTATTGCATTTTTTACTTATTTTAATAACATATTTTTTTAGAGATCCCCTCCCCTTTAAATTTTTATTATTTATTTTCCTAATAATAATATTATAAGTATCCAAATATTTCAATGCGGTGTTATAATAATAATAATATTATAAATAAAAAATGAGACGGGGATGATGACTTAATTTCTAACCCGTGCGGGATCGGGGGTGGGGATCACCGTCGGTAATAACAAAAATCTATCGGTAAATATTTTATAAAATTACTAATGGACAGGAATCTGTCAGTAATATTTTCATTATTTATTGCGCTTTTTTACTTATTTTAAAAGCATATTTTTTTAGAGATCCCCTCCCCTTTAAATTTTTATTATTTATTTTCCCTCATTATATTTTTATAACTTTGAATTATTATTAGATTAAGAGAAATGTCATTGACAAGATTCAAACCTAATACCTTAGAGTTAGAGGCTGATACTCTAACCACTAAACTACTAGAATTTTTTGATAATAATTTACAAATAAATTATATTTATATACAAATATATTTATATATTTATATATAATTATTTTTTTAAATTATTTAATTTAATAAATTATTATAAATTAATCTAATTATGATTAAATTAAATTATTAAATAAAAAGTATTTATTTTTGTAATTAGGTGAATAATTAATTTATTAGAATATATTAAGTAATTATTATATAATTTTACCGACGGATACACGGATATATCCGTCGGTAATTAATCGTTAATTTACCGATGGATTTATCCATCGGTAAATAATTGTTAATTTATCGAAAAATTTATCGACGAATTTACTAATGGATATATCCGTCGATAATTAATTGTTAATTTACCAACGGATTTATCGACGGATATATCTATCGGTAAGACCAAATTCTATATCATCTGCAGTAATGACTTATTTTCCGACGGCTACAAATCTGTCGATAAAAATCCGTCGTAAATATACAATTTTCTTGTAGTGAAGTTCTGCATTAAGTTGTGATTTTTTTACGGGGTAAAATTTGATTAGTGAAACTTTAATATTTTGATTATTAAATAACTAATAAATACTTAAAAAATAATACTAAATAGGAGTTCAAATGATCAAACCATTCTCCAATATATAAATTAAACGCTATGGGAGAAGAAACTGGATATATATATATATATATATATATATATATATATATATTGTAATAAGTATGCACTGTGGTTGCGGTTTAGGCCGATATTATCAGCGCAAATTTGTTTTCTTTGGCTCTGATACCATTTCTGGCACCAATGCACATATAAAAGCGGAAAAAAGCGGAAAGAAGGAAGAGATGAAATGTAGAAAGAAGAAGATATTATTTCTTAAAGCTTACAATATTCAAGACTATTCGAGGAGAGAAGGGAAGGCTGGGAGCTTAGGCTATGAAGGAGTTGGCTGAGGAAGATAGAGTTTAAGGCTCAAAGAGAGCTGTAAATTCTACTTCAGCAACTGACTCTTTTATAGGCCTAAAGGTTCTCCTACTTCAGCTTATTCCCATGGTTGAAAAAAAATTTATGATTCGAAGGTAAGGAGGGTATTGAGGAGTAAGGTTTTTGTATTTCTGATAAATTTTCATGATCTTTTCGGGGATTATGGCCTGAATAGGACCTATTTGATGAAACCAGTCAATAAACCAGTTGGGTAATGCATGGGGTATTTCTTTTTTAAAACAGATATACCAGGAATGCCTAGGGTTCGTGTCAAAGAGTATTTTGTTCCAGCCTTCTTGGTAATCAAAATAATTATAGGATGGGGGGTCAAAGGGCCTCAAAAAGCTCTTATCAGTGAACGGATGTTGATTCCATTCTGGGTAAGAAATAATTTTAATAATTCTTAATTTCGAATAACTAATAATAGAGGGATCTCTATCATTAGGAATGGGGGTTATTTCAGCCGATCCGGTGTCTATTAGAATGAATTGATAAAATTTTTTGGTCTTTTTTAGATTTTCTAATCTAGGGATCCAACTCCATCCTAGAGGTGCTAGCTTCCTAAGTATTCCATAGACATCTTTAGCATTTCAATCTTCTTCTAAAGTGATTATCTTCTGGCATCCTTCTTTTATGTGGAATTCTTTTTTCGGGGTTTTTTCTGGGGAAGTATTTTGAGCCTTTTGTAGTGTTAATGGGGTAAATCTGTTAGGGAGAGTGGTTATAGAGGTAGGAAGTTTTCGAGTAGTTATAATTTTTGAATATGAGGGGGCAAAGTCATCTAGAAACAATGTAGAGGACTTAGGATTTTTGGTTTTATTCTTTTCAGAGGTATTCGGTAATTTAGAGGGGGTTACCATGGGTGTGGTCCTGCAAAAATTCTCTTGTTAGAAAATCTGGTATTGAATTTTCTTTTCCTTTTATAAATTCTATGTCAAATTCAAAGCAAGATAATAAACTTTGCCATCTGACAAATATTTGTTTTGAAACGATATTTTTTACATCTTTTTCTAAAACTTCTTTTGCAGATTTACAATCAATTCTTAATAAAAAAAATTTCTTTATTAAATCATGTTGAAATTTTTGTATATTTTAAACTATGCTTAAAACTTCCTTTTTAATAGTGCTATTCTTTTGAGCTTCATTCCATATTCCTGAGTGATATCTCACTATTTGTTCGGGATTATTATGTATTTGTTGTTTTAGTATCCCCCCGTATCCTATATCAAAGGCATCGGTTTCTATAATTATATTTGCTTCCAGATTGGGTATTCCTAGACAGGGTAGTGTCTTAACTAATTTTTTAACTTCTATTACTATTTTAGTCATTTCTAGAGTCCATGGTTTAGGATTTTTTCTTAATCTATTAAAGAGTGGTTTACATAGTATTCTAATATTAGGTATGAATTCTGCTACATAGTTTAAACATCCTAAAAATCTTTGTAATTGCAGTTTATCTTTTATTTCATCAAGAAATTTTTCTGAAAATTCAATGCTTCTTTTAATAAGGGTTATAGTTCCTTGATTTATTTCATGACCCAAAAATCTAATTTGTGTTTGGGCTAATTTTATTTTCTTTTGTGATATTACCATTCCATTGGTTTTTATAACATTTTTAAATGCTTTTTATGTTGTTCTATTGATTCAGAGAATATTAATACATCATCAATATAGACAATAGCAAATTTTGAGTAAGGGTTTAATATATCGTTCATTATTTTTTGAAATTCTGAAAGTGCATTTTTTAAACCCATAGGCATTACATTCCATTCGTATTGCCCAAACGGTACAATAAAAGCAGTTTTATATTTATCTTGTTCTTTTAATTTAATTTGATAATATCCACTCTTCATATCAAATTTAGAAAATATAGTGGTCTTATAAATTATGCTTATTAATTCAGTTTTATTAGGTAGAGGATACCTAATCCATTTTAAGACTTTATTTAGAGGTTTATAATTTATTACCATCCTTGGTTCTCCTCTTTCTATTTCGGAGGCATTTTGTACATAAAATGCAGCACAACTCCAAGGAGATTTGCTTGGTCTAATAAGTTTTTTATCTAAAATTTTTTTATTTCTTTTCTACAATATTCTAGGGTTTCTTTATTTAATTGTACTGGTTTAGCTTTAGTGGGAATATT